TCATTGTTGTTTGGCGGGCCCGGGCTGGGGATTCGAACCCGTCACCTTAGGTGTACGTGGCTGGCGCCCTAGCCGGTTGAGCCACAGGCACCGAGCCCAGAACTCTTCTTGATTCCAGGATTGGGTCTAGTAATCTCTGGATCTATCTTTGAGATTAGAGTGTATTTAACAACACAAGGATCACCTCAAATCTTCTCGCACCTCTCAGATGTAACCTTACCCCAGCAGAGCCCCCAGAGTCCCTCTCAGCTGTTGAGTGACAGCACCACCTAGTGGGCACCTCAGCAAAGCTAGGAGCCCTGCAATGTTCACATGACCCATCCCACTTTTAAGGCTCATCAGAGGGATGAGAGATGGTTCAGGTTCCCAGCATGGTCAGTTCACACCTCTCCCAATTCAGGGTGCAATCCCTGAAGTTTTTTGGCCAAAAAAAAAACTCAAGGACAAAGTAATATGTAACCACGCCCAACAGGCTTGCTTTATTGGAGAAGGGGACGTGGAATCAACAATGTGAAGACAGCTGGGGACTGAGGCTGGGAAGAACACTCTCCCCTCCCCATACATGCCCACTGCCCCAAATAAAAAATAACCAACTATGAGAGAGCAGCCACTGAGGGGAAAGAGACACAGAACTCAAGGGCAGCAGTGAAGAGACCATGCGTGTGCTGGGAGGGCCCAAGGCAGCGGCTGCTCAAATGACGGTACAAGTCTCTGCATCTTCCGCGTGGTATGTATAAATATATAGAGATAAGCTGTTCTCTCCCCCCTTGCTCCCTTCTGCTCCACGCCGCGTGCGGCGGTCCTAGCTTCTTTTTCCACATGAGGATGAAGGGAAGGGGGGTGACCAAGTCATCACCGAATTGCGATGAGACCCACATCCATCAGCTTCTGAATCTTCTGTGCTATTACAGGATTCTTTAAGTGTCTAGGGACACAGAGGCAGTTATGAGACTTAACCTTGCTCTCAGAGCAGGCCCCATTTCACAACCCCCCAAAAGCATCATGGTTAAGGTATCCTGCAAAGGCCTCTCCTATATGAGCTGTGCCACCTGCCTTTGAGCCTATGGTCATGCTTTATTTATTTATTTTTTTTTTTTGAGACAAAGCCTCAAGCTATCGCCCTGGATAGAAAGTGCTGTGGCCTCACAGCTCACAGCAATCTCTAACTCCTGGGCTTAAGTGATTCTCTTGCCTCAGCCTCCTGAGTAGCTGCGACTATAGGCACCCACCACACCACCAGGCTATTTTTTGGTTGTAGTTGTCATTGTTGTTTGGTGGGCCTGGGCTGGATTCAAACCCACCAGCTCTGCTGTATGTGGCTGGCGCCCTAGCCGCTTGAGCTATAGACACCGAGCCTACTCTGTTTATTTATTTATTTTTTTGAGACAGAGCCTGAAGCTGTCCCCCTGGGTAGAGTGCTGTGGCATCACAGCTCACAGCAACCTCCAGCTCTTGGGCTTAGGCAATTCTCTTGCTTCAGCCTCCTGAATAGCTGGGACTACAGGCGCCCACCACAATGCCCAGCTATTTTTTTGTTGCAGTTTGGCTGGGGCTGGGTTCGAACCTGCCATCCTTGGTAAGTGGGGCCAGCGCCCTACTCACTGAGCCACAGGCATAACCTTTGGGTGTTTTTTTGCAGTTTTTGGCCAGGGCTGGGTTTGAACCCACCACCTTAGGCATATGGGGCTGGCGCCTTACTCCTTTGAGCCACGGGCACTGCCCGTACCTTTGTTCTGTTTTTTTTTTTTTTTTTTTTAATTCCACCCAGAAGGACCATACCCCTGCCACTCTCCCACCTTCTCATTTGCTTCTGTTCCCTATTTTCCTGCAAGGCTGTCTCTCCCAACTCTACTTACTCGCTGAGTGCCTGGGGGTCCTTCTGCATCTGTTCCAGGATGAGCCGCATGGCTGGGTCACTCATTATCTGCTGCACCTCAGGGTCGGCCATAGCCCGCCGCTTCACATCTTCAGGGCTATCGTGCCGGTTGTACTGGGCCATCATACAGCGCTGGTAACCGTCTGCTGCCTCCTGCAGTGAAGAAGCAGAAGGGCATTAGCATTTCAGGCTCACTGCTTCAGTAGGTCCAAGACAACCAAAAAGGGAAGAAAGCTCACAAGAGAGAAACAGACTTCAAGAGAAATGGAGGTGATGGAAAGACCAGAGACTGAACATGGATAAGACTCAAAGGAGAAACAGGCAGGGGAGAGCCTACTGGAAACCAGAAGCAGCCCACCTTGCAGTTGGAGTCCAGGTCTAACGCCTTCTGGTACACATCCATGGCTTTTGTGTAGTCCTTCATTGCTTCTAGGGCAGCTGCTTTTCGTGTATAACCTTTAACTACAAACAGGAGAGGTGAGGCAGTATCTAAAACACTGCCTCCAAGGCTGCTTCTTGCACGTCTTCAGCCGCACACTAATACCCTTCCTTCCCTTCTGCCAATGCTAGGTCCTAAAAGCAACAAGCCCCCAAATCATGCAGGTAGACAAAGAACTTGTCCCTTCTTTCTCTGATCTTTTGGCCAGAGGCAGGGGGAAGGGGATGGGGAGAGGCAGCAGAAAGGCACTTACTGAAGGTTGGCTCCAGCTGGATACATTCCTCACAGTCCTAGGAGGAAGCAGCAAAAAAGCATTAGGTTCACTGCTTTAGAGGAGCTCATATGGCAGCCCCATTAGGTGAATTTAACTCCTCATCCAGCACCACAACAGAGGACTCTGCTTTCTTCTTGCCCTCCTCCCAGTTCTGGCACCTGGTTGCTTAAGGATAGGTTAAGCAGGAGGAGGGTAACACAGGACAAAGTGAGGCACCATCACCAAGACAGACAGTTACAGACTATGGACCATCCCACACAAGACAAATGGCCTGGACCCTTCAATGGTTCAGCACCTTAATTGTCACACAGAAGTGGAGAAACACCAGGATTTATTTTTAAATATCTTCAAAACAGAAAGTTATGAAATCATGAAAAGAAAAAATGCTATGGAATCGAGAAAGCACACTTGGGCCTAATGCCAATTCTTCCCCCTACAAAGTCATGAGACCCTTACCACAATTCCATTCACTCTTTTTCCCAGGTACAGAATTGTCAAAGAGCCATCCTGCCTCCCAGGTGACTGACAACCTGCAATTATTTGCTTCATAAATCAATGTTTTTGGTGTTATGCCTGTACAATTCCACCAGCAGCAGTGACATCTCTAGGCCTGATACAGATCAAGAGGCGGTTTCATCAAAAATAAAAACCAACATGGCAGCCGCATTTGGTGGCTCACCTGTAATCCTAGCACTCTGGGAGGCCAAGGTGGGCGGATTCCTTGAGCTCAGGAGCTCAAGACCAGGCTGAATAAGAGTGAGACCCCATCGCTAGAAAACTAACCAGGCCAAAAAACAAAAAATCTCCAATGTGAATCCGGTTATAAGAATCTCTAAATAGGTCACATTTTGTCCCCTTCCCACAATATAGTCCAGGCATATCTACCAAAAAACAGCTTAAAAAAACAAAAAAAAAAACTCGGGTAGCATCTGTGGCTGAGTAGGGCACTGGCCCCATATATCAAGGGTTGTGGGTTCAAACTCGGCCCTGGCCAAACTGCAACAAAAAATAGCTGGGCATCGAGGCAGGCACCTATAGTCCCAGCTACTTGGGAGGCTGAGGCAAAAGAATCACCTAAGCCCAAGAGCTGAAGGTTGCTGTGAGCTGTGACGCTATGGCACTCTACTGAGGGTGACAAAGTGAGACTCTGTCTCTTATAAAAAAAGAAAAAAAACCCAAAAATTCAAGATAGAGGCACAGTGGCTCATATTCAAAATAATAATCAGGACAACCCATCCACAGTGTCAAGCACAATCTTATCTGACCACAGTTGATGTGACAGAACCACCTAGTTGACCTAACGGAAATAGCAGCCAGGCGCGGTGGCTCGCAACTGTAATCCTAACACTCTGGGAGGCTGAGGCAAGAGGATTCCCTCAGCTCAGGAGCTTGAGACAAACCTGAGCAAGAGGGAGACTCTACCTCTACTAAAAATAGAGAAACAAGTTGGGCATGTGGCAGGTTGCCTATAGTCCTAGCTACTGAGGAGGCTGAGGAAGGAGGATCCCTTGAACCCAGGAGTCTGAAGCTGTTCTCTAGCCTGGGCAAGAGAGCCAGATAGTAACAAAAAACAAAACAGAAACAGTAAGAAAGGAGAGTAGAGCAGCGGCTCAAGCAGCTGAGGTGCCAGCCACATACACCCAAAGTGGTGGGTTCGAATCCAGCCCAGTTCTGCCAAATAACAATGACAGCTGTAACCAAAAAATAGCCGGGTGTTGTGGTGGGCACCTGTGGTCTCAGCTACTCGGGAGGCTGAGACAGGAGATTCGCATGAGCCCAGGAGTTGAAGGTTGCTGTGAGCTGTGATGCCAAGGCACTCTACCCAGGGGGACAGCCTGAGGCTCCTGTCTTAAAAAAAAAAAAAAAAAAAAGAAACAAGATGGTGGCTCCTCAGGAAATAAAACTCAGGTTCTGTATGATCCAGCATTTCAACTTCTGCGTATATACCCACAAGAACTAAAAGCAGGGATATTTGCGTTCCCATGTTCCTAGCAGCATTATCTATAAAAGGCATAGTGGTTCATGCCTATAATCTTAGCACTTAGGGAAGCAGAGGCGGGTAGATTGCTCCTGAGTTCAAGACCAGCCTGAGCAAAAGGGAGACCCAGTCTCTAGCTATGGCACTACAGCACTCTACCCAGGGTGACAATCTCAAAAAAAAAAAAAAAAACGAAACAGGCTTGGTGCCTACACATCAGCGGTTAAGGGCACTGGCCACATACAGTGGGGCTGGCTGGTTTGTACCCAGCCTGGGCCTGCTTAACAACAATGATAAATGCAACAACAACAAAAAATACAGCTGCGCATTGTGGCAGGCACCTATAGTCCCAGCTACTTGGAAGGCTGAGGCAAGAGAATTGCTTAAGCCCAAGAGTTTGAGGTTGCTGTGAGCTGTGATGCCACAGCACTCTACCAAGGGCT